AAGAGCCCAACACAATAAATGAAAATAGACCCGTACCAAAATACAGCCCTGTGAAGTATCAGCACACTGGCAAGACAAAAAGATTCTTGGATCTTCTACAGAGAAGCAGAGAGTAAGAATTAGATTTGTGTGAAATGTCTCAGTAGAAACACTGGCAGCTAAAAGAAAGGACACCTTTGGAAATCTGAAGAAACAAGATGTCCGGCCTGGATTTCTACAGCCAGTCAATCTATTAGCGTTAGTGTAGAGAGAGAAGTTTCCAGACGTGTACATTTTCCCCCTTCTCAGAAAGTTCCTAGGTTGTATTCCAGCAAACAAGGGAGTAGACCAACAAGAGAGGGACATGATGTTCTGGAAGAAGGCGCTCCACACGAGGAGGGGGTGAAAGGGAGCCCTAGGATGATGGCGAAGGGAGTTCCCAGGATGTGCGCGGTCTTAGCTGTCCGTCCAGACCAGAGTGGATGAGAAGACCAGGAGAGGAGAGGTTCAATAATAGAAGTGAAGGCTTTGTTTACTGAGAGGAGATTTATCCAGCTGTAGAAATGTGAGATAGATTCATGATAATTAAGCAATGAAAAAAGGAAACCCCAGGTTACTAACTGGGGTTGGGTGGTACCGTACAGAAAGGGAAATGTCATGCAAGACTCAGCTGTAAAGAATATATAATAAAAAAATTTAAACATTAACTATTGAGCTAGGAAAAGTTGTACTGAACTACACTGGGGGAGTGGGGGTGAGTGAAAAGAGCTATGTCTTAATCTTCTGTGGTCAGAAGCAGATAGATCATGCCTAAAATTGAAACAGTATGCATTTCATTCAGAGAGATGGAGGGTAAATACTGTTCCCCCCCCAAAACAAAACAAACAAAAACTCAACACAGAAAAAACCATAAAAGCAACAACAAAAAAATGAGTTCCAAAAAAGGTAAAAGTGGTTGCCTCTGGGAGATAGAACAGCTATTTTTTGTAACATACCTTATTTGATTTTTTATACTATGTGCATGTGTAACAGATACAAGTAGTAATTAAAAATGTATATGTCAAATTTGCATAAATCAAATCTCAATTTAGTAAGATAGCTAACAATTTGAGCCAAAGAGCCCTTATGGTAAGTTTTATGTCATGCTTATCTTGTAGTACATAAATTTGACTTTAAGTCAAAATGGGGCACATCTAAATTGTGGTTTGATGAATAATCACTAAAAGAAAACTAAACTAACAATTAGGAAATAGCTACTTAAAGTAATAGTTGCCTCTGACATATGTGCTGCAATATAGTATTTTCTGTTACCTTGTTTTACACAGAGCTCTCCCAGTTACGGCTTTGTGACCTTACCCTACATTTCAGTCGTCCTATGAAGACAGATGACTTAAAGGACGCAGAAAGAGACAGCCCCCTCTCTGAAGAGTCTAAGACGTCAGATGTATCCCTTGCTTCTAACAGTTTTTAAATCTGACTTTTATTTGTTGTGGATTTGTAACTTTTATTTTTGAATTAACTCCTATCTAGGAGAATTGAGTTTACTCATATATTTAATATAATAAAAAAATAAAAATATGTTGAGTTATAAATAATCATTTCATGTTCTTGAAGGCTGTTTTTTTCTTGTTTTAGTGTTTCGACGAATGGCTACCTTATGTCATTAATGGCAAGAGTATGACACAGGAAATGGCCACGGGGCACTGCTTAGTCTTTACCCTATGCTTGAATTTGGCTTAGGGTGAAGGAGAGCTACTAAATTGTAAATGTATGGTATGAGTTTATATTAATCAGATCTCTCCTGGTAGCAAGTGCCAAAAGCGACTCAAGCTAGCTGAAGCATTTATTGGGTCTTGTGACTTGGAAGTTCCCCGTTGGGGTACATTTTAGGGCCTTGGCTAATTCTGGTTCTATCCTGATTCTGTTTCTGTGCACTGGCCTCATCCTGTCCTATTAAAAGGGTGGTTTCCTCCATATGAGAGGTAGAAGGGGGTCGATGTATGGCAGCAGGCAACTCCAGGTGTACAGCATTACCTTTTGGGGGCCCCAGAGAAAGAGAGATATCCTCTGTTTCAGTCAACCTTTATGTTTAACATTCTGGAGAAGGATCCTGGTTGGCCCAGCTTTGATTAAGATGCTTATCCCCAGGCAGGGTCCTGAGCAACTGTGCTTGGTGAGGTTGGGGTCATACACCAGGTCTGTGGCCGAAGGAGAGGCCCCACGAAAGGAACAGAGTTGCCATGGCCTGAAGAAGGCGAGAAAGAATGCCAGTCATGGAAACGTCAGGTACTCAACACTGATTGTACTGATTGCAGTGGAACAGCTTTTAGTTTTAGGATACTTTTATTTCTGTCCTTTTCCACCAAAGGAAACTTAAACTTTTGTTTACCTTGTGAACATAATTCACTACCAAATAGTTGCTTTGAGATCTATCATTTGCTCCATTTTAGATGTTTTTTAACAAAGTGTAGAATACCGTGAAGCAAGATTCAAGGTCAGCTCACTCCACAGCAGAGCCTGCAGCGTTTTCTGTCATTACCCAGCACCTAGCTCAGGGTTTCACCCAGAATAGGCACTGAAACGCTTGTTGAATATCCTGTTGAATAAACATGTAAACGAGTGCAAGGTTTTCAGCTTCAGAATTCCTGATTCTAGATCCTAAACTGAGAACTTCTGATTTGTAAGGATGAAGTTTTGTGAAACATTTTTATCATTATTGGTTAAGTCTCCACATAGCTGTTACCTTAGCAAATCATTTGTTTTAATTAGATGACTTCCAAGATCCCTTTCAGTGTTCTATTAGCTCATGAAAATGAAAATGCAAGATACTCTTTGTGACTCAGAAAATTATTATCATAGGTTAAACAGAGAAGCCAGAAAGTTTTGTTGTTACTAAGAGCTGTGGAATAACAACCAGGGCCCCTGGGAAGGGAAAGGGAAAACTTAACTGAATGCAAGGTTTTTGTTTTGTGAAATGACTAGTACTTCTTGTTAAGTGAGATATGTAAGTTGAAGGAAAGAAGTGAATTGCTTTGAAGGATTTATAGAGCCTTTTGAGGAAAGATGAAGAGAAGGGCTTCATGACAGCTGTCAGTGATGAGGGATAAATATAGAAGAAAAGTATTTAATTGGAAAGTCTGATCAAATTTTTCTGTGTATACATGCATTGATCTTTCATCTTCCCATGAAGACTTTGGTAAAATCTACATCATTTGACGATGCTTTTGGAGTTGGATGGGGTGGAGGAGGTGAGATGCGGGTGTCGGATATGATGAACTTAAACCCGGGTGTACTGGACACCAAAGCATCATCTCTAAATTTAAAACGTTTTCTTTTTGTATTTATAGCTTATGTTTGCTTTAAAACAGAAACATAATAGTATGAACTAAATAGTCAATAATACTGTTTTAGAAACCCAAAAGTAAAGCAAAAGGCAAATTAATTTTAATTCCAAGAAGTTATCCCAACATACATTTTATCTTTTTCATAAAAAAATACATAAAAATCCCCCCAGCAAAAAATACCAAATAGGAAAGGAAATATTTTTGAAGCTCCTTAAACTGAGAAACTGAATTTTAGTAATTTTCAAATTACTCATATAAAACTGATGATTGCCTTTGACTGACATAAGATTGGCTCTATAAAAGATCATTTTTATGTGTTCCCCAAAACTATCACCATATCAGTGTTTCTAAACTTGCCCCAAATTATTTCTGTAGCTGTGCAAACTAATGTACTTGGAAATGGGTATTCAAAAATACCCATCTTTTTAAAATGAATTGTTACAGTGCATTACTAGACTTCAAGTGTGAACATTATTATTCATGCACTTTACAGACATTGAAGAAGAATAAATAAATTATGGGATACTTGACAGTCTTCATTTCAAACACCTTTTTAAGCGAAGGGAGAAAACCCTTGTGTTCATGTTGAGGGGTCAATTCAGTCGTAAGTGTCTGACGGTTCTCCAAGATTGACTGATCTTCCTATGCTGGCGACAGGCAGGAGGAAGGCTCGTTTGCTTGGCTGACTTGCTAGGGATAACCTGCAGAATAGGTCAGCGTGCACTGGTATCTGGAGCCTCGGTTTTTCCCATCAATGAGCAGAAGTGGCATTTTCCTGAAGTAGTCAATAATATCTGACACAGACAGAAAGTCCTGAAAGATTCAGAACAGGGAGATAAATCAGCATCAGAATGGGTAGCATGAATTTCACTCTCAGTTTTTTAAAATCTATGTAATATCCTACCTCTTGAAGTATGAAGATTATAAGGAAAAAAACATGTAAAATTTGGCAAATATTTTAATGATTTCTGCTACAAAACTTTGAAAAAATAACTCCTCACCAACATTGAGCAAACCATGGATTAAAGACAAATATGTGTGTGTGTGTGTGTGTGTGTATATATTTTTAATTTCATATGGGGGTTATATATATGTACTGCAATCTAATTATGATAGCCTTATCTTAGGATCGTTCTATTTGTCTGTGGTTTGGTTTTGGTTTTTGTACCCCCCTTCACTCTAAGCCACAAATAATAGGAGGTGTAAGGAATCAGGAGGTCAGACAGCATCCCTGGTGTCTAAGATGATACTGTAACATGGCATAATAGTTCCTTCATGATCTCTGCTGTGTCCCCACTGCCACCTCCACACTCACAAGAGCTCTGTAGCCAAGTCTTTGCATCCATTACCCAAATCACCCTATCCCTGATGGCCAGACTGGGAGCCCCCATCCATCCATCTAGATATGGGTCGGAAGTCACCTAGGTACCCCAGACAGAGTTATGCACTTCGTGCATGACAGGTCTGCTCACTGCCTCCCTCCAGGGCAACAGCAGTGAGTGGTTTGTATTTGTGTTTCCACACGAGACCAAGAGAAATCCTGGAGGATAGACATGGCCACTTCTGTAGGCCCTATGCAGCTCCACCCACGCGGCACCAGCGATTCAGACATTCGGCCAAATCGTGTGTTTTCTTCTACCTGTTCACATTATCATAACTTGAAAATATTTGGAGTAAAGTTGAAGTTATGCCTGAGTTGTTTCTCATTCTAGAAATGTCTGAGTCAGCTGATCTTCCTCCTAGAACTTTAAACTTAAAGAACATGCTTGGGGCAGTAAATTTAGTTGTAGTTTCCTTTGCAATAAAGCAGCCCTGAAAGGTTTCCTTCACACCAGCGCTGATTACTACCCAGAAAGTGACTAGCGTACACCTTGGCAAAAGAGAGGAAAGTGTTTTCAACAATTTGGCCACCTTCATTGGCCAAACCTCCATTTTTAGAAAGAAATGACCCAAGTATCTAAATAATTAGCACAAAAATTCTATTTTTCCCCTTTTTCCAGATGTCTGCTTAAGATACAGCCTTATAAACACACTGTAATCATACATTAAAATTATGTGACAGAGATGAATGATAGAAGGGACTTGCCTTTGACATCATCTAACTGGATTTTTAAAAATTTACATATGAGCATACATTTTTTAAAGTTACAAAGTGATTTTAGACTATTTGGAATAAAATATATGAGGAAAAACTCTGTGGCAGAGGTAGATACTGTTAATATTTTACTTCCTTCCAGTAAATGAAGGGTTTCACTAATGTGACTTAACTCTAAAGTTGCCCTGCAGTATGGACCCCCAAAGAATGCTACAGCAAGCTTCCATGTAGGTAGGTATGCAGAGAGGCATAAATAGAGAATTAGGGGAAATTTTACAACTAGAAGTCCTTACCTCTTTCCCTCGGAGTCCAGTTCCCAGCAAGTAAACTTGGCTTTCCTCCTGATAACGGATCTGGATGTTGTAAACTTTATCTTTGTACAACACCATGAGGACGTATGGATTGGTTATTGTTTTTTTAGAGCTGTCTCTAACCAGAAAAGTGCCATCCTAGAAGGATAAATTCTTGTTATTATGGGAGAGGCAAAAATCAATACTTTCGTTGCCTGTTAAGAGCAGCAGACAAGCCTTAAGGGATCTGGAAACCTACCAGTTGACAATTCAGTGAACATTTAGTTCCCCAACAACTTCAGTCCCATGTGTTGTGGATTTCTTGGTTGTCAAGAAAGAGGCAGCAGAGATTATATCAGAGAAATTTCTAAATTTCAAAGAAACCTCTTTGCAGTCTCTTGATGAAAAAGGAATCTCTTTTTCAGTAATAAAACAAATAGGTGGTTGAGTGGATAAAGGGCGAACAAAATAAGGACTTTATTGATTAACTAAAGATACGTCTTCCCACTCCTGAGAGCTAACTCCCTAGCCCTTTCTTTTGAGGGCCAAAGTTATAAAACAGCCAAATGCCTAAGAAATTTACCAGTTTTAAAACCTCACGGTGTCCAGATGCTGTGTCTCATCATCCTACACCTGAACAAAACCCAGTGTGGACCATCTGTGTCCTTATCACCCTTTTTTCCTGAAATTTACCAAAATAATGTTGTGATTTGTCCTGTACTTTAAAATTTCATTCCATAAACTATTGCTACATAATAGTCATACAGTAAAGATCTAATATTAAAATAGAATGAATTAGGAAGGACCCATTTAAACTACTCTGTCCTCTGTGTATTGAATCGGGATGGTTTTAAAAAGCCAACAGTTGGCAAAAAAATAAATGGCTTTCCTTTTTTCTTTTTATTTCAAGTTGGTTGAGTAAATTCTAGTCAGAACATCTCTGATGAACAAATACACCTGTGGACAAGTGATTCAGGGCCCTGGCTTCACTTTGGAATTTCAAGTTTTGAAGACTTCCGGAGTCCACACAGCACCCCTGATTAATTAAATCAGAATCTCTCCAGGTGAGACCAGAATCCGAATTTTTTTAAGGCTCCCCAAGTGATTTAAATGTGGAATCAAGCTTGAAAACTACTACTGTAGCCTCGAGAAGTGTAAGATATGAAAGATGAAAGCTTTCTACTTTCCTGCGTCTGATACATTGATTTAAGGTTAATGTTCAGCACCAGGAAATAGGAAGTCCCATTTAAGACCTTTATTATAAAAAGACAGCTAGAAATTTCTAGGGAAAAGGACAAAAAGTTGCTGTTGTCTCTCTCAATATGGGTCCTTTCACATCAATATGGATGGCGACTGTGTATTAAGAGGAAGATGGGCTGGTAAGATGTTGGAAATTTGGGGGAAAGAGAGTCTCCTTTTGAAGCTATTTGATTCCTGTGAAAAGATGGACTCTTTCTGTTGATAAAAAATCTAAAATTCTGCCAGCCAAATGACTACCTTAATTTAGATTTTTTTCCCCAGAGTCATAGGAATCATTGATATGGATGCTGGTCGGTGGGACGCTGGCACTAATTGGTCCCCTCGGTATCACAGCATGACCAGCACCTAACAGAATTTCTAACCCATAATTGGTGCTCAGTAGAAGTCAGTTCCCTTTTTTTCTTCCATTAATATTTATAAGTACTTAAAAATAAATTTTAGCACAGTACCTGGTTTATTCTTCTAAGAGCAGCTTCTGCCTCTGGTCGGGTAATATAAGAAACATACCACTCTTGACGTAATGAATTCTGAAAATGTAAATTTTTAAAAACAGAATAAATGCTGCAGTTACACATGTAAGTGAAAAGCAAAACCTTCAAGTAATCATTCCCATGAATAACCACCTCAATTCCATGAGGTTTGAAACATTTGTTTTCTTAAGTTGAATATAGAATCATTCAGGTGAGGCTAAATAGAAGATATTTTGTGTGAACTGCTTTTTATCATGAAGTTGGCTGCAAAGATAGCTGTGAATAAGCATTCCACTTATAACGGAGCCTCTAATCAGGAAAGATAGAGATGTAATGATTTCTCCAGTTTAGTACAGTGATATATTTAATGAAAAAAACTGGGTGAACGAGAAGTTAAGTGACTTATGCAATGTCATATGCTAAGAAACAGATGAAAAATAGGATTCTTCTTCTCATTGTTTAATGCAAAACACACATTTGCCATTGGAAGAGTCTGAAAAACACCAAGGAAAAAGAATGTATTATTTTTCATCTGAATCTTCTCCTTAATTTTTTTCACTAAAATTTTCCACTAAAAAAATTAAGGCTAAATAGAAGATAGAAGTACAAGAGAGTATTCAGTGGGAGCTTCTGAAGATTCATTTGCTGGGGAAAAAATAAAATACAAACATATGCTTTATTACCTCTTCTTCCCCAGGGGATGATGGCCGAGGTTTGCTTGGAACTGGCAAGGAAAAGTTTCTGCCTTCAGCTCTGGGAGGTGGTCTGTTGCTAGAGCCTTCAAAAGTATAGCATTTTGAAAGTTAATTTACTTTAAGCAATTTTTCACTTCTGTCATAACACATCCCCCCTCCCCCCAAATGGTTCTGCAATTGTTCCCAGCAATTAACATTTCAAGACACCACAGCTTGAAAAATAATTTTTACTTGTTCAAAACCACAAGGGTTGCTCAGGCATTATTCTGTAGCCAGGCCAGTGAAATTCTGAGACACTACCACACATCTGAGGGATTGCTTACTTGTGCACGTGACATGTAAAGTGACTAGATCCACTGGTGAAAAGGTCACGTGGTTTTAATGTGATCATCAAAAGCAATGTTCAAGAGACAAATCTTTCACAGACTCCAGCACACCCAGAATGGATTCCTTACCGCTCATGTGGTAACAATACGGTAATAAAATAATTACGTTCTCATTGTTTTCACAAAAAGAAGCGTATGTTACCCAAGACAAGGTGAAATTACCTTGAGAATATCGTTAGCTTTTAGAAACAGTTTGCCACCTGCTCTTATGAACCAGATTTTCTAACGGAGGTAAAGCAGTTCAACTCCCATAAAGGTTCCACCACCTGTCTGATCAATCAGGAAGTCTGTGTTGGGTCCTGTAAATCACCCAGCACTTGAGTGCCTCACCTTCGGTAAGCTTTTTTTCCTTGTTGACAGTTCCCTGAAACATGTTTCCTAATTTCAGGAAAGGTTTGATTGTGTTGAGGTGTAATTGCCAAGGCTGTCTTCTGTGTGCCAGAACAGCTGCCAAAGCCTGGGAAGTCCTGTGTGTTGAGTGTTCTCTTAATAATTCATCCACCATTCATTTGTTCATTCAGCAAATACTTATTCTGCACTACCCTTTCAGGCCCTGAGTAGCACCTGCAAATGCTCCCTTTCGTCCTCACAGCAACCCTACAGAGAGAGATTATCTTCTTTTTGAATATGAGGAAACAAAGACTCAGAGTCTAAATAAATCATATGCTCTTAGTGGCAGGGCCAGGACTTGAACCTGTGGTTCCCAAACATTACTGTACATAAACGAGAATCCCAGGGGGACCCCGGATCACCCAGGCTCAGGAATCTGCATTTAACAAGCACCCCAGGTGGTTCTTCACCTGGGCTGTTCCTCCATCTGCAATACACTGAAGTGGTAAACCGTCTGCCCCCCATGCCACTGAGGGAGGAGAGTTACTTGGGAAGGGCCAGAGTCTTCCCAGCCATGTCACCAGGATTATCTGAGATGAGATTCCCTGTCTCTAAATAAGCAGATCAAGCTGGCCTGAGCTGCTGATCTTTCTTCTGAAGGCTCCCAGAGCCTTAACAGCCCTTCCCCATGCCTACCTTTGCAGTCCAGCACAGCAGGCACTTTTATAATGTTTGTGGATTGAATCTAGCCATATGGGAAAGTCATGTGACCAATGCCTATGTTATATGACTGTGTTAGAGCTGAGGAATTTTCTTCCTGCTTCTGCATCCGCAGGCCAGCACTGTAAAGTCACTTTTCATGACAGACAATAATTTTCATGGAAGTCACCCACCACCCTTATTACCTAGATCCTCAAGAGATGTGAGACAGATGTTTTGGACAATACAAAGCACATCCTTTATCTTCCTGACCATCAAGCAGCCAGTGGGCTAGACTGAGGGCCAGGACCAGGGGTCCTAGCACTCTTAGGAGAAAAGCGGTCAGTTTTGATTAAGGTAGCGCAGTATGCCCGCTGTATTCCAGGTCTGCGTCCTCGGATTCAACCAACCTCAGACTGAATCTGCGAATGCGGACCCTGTGTGTGTGGAGGGCATACTGCGCTACGCCACTTTATATAAAGGGCTTGAGCATCCTCGGATTTTGGCATTTGCGAGGATTGTGCAACCAATCCCCCCATATGGAAGGATGACTATATTCCAAAAAAGAATTAACTATTTATATTAGTAACCCCCATCACCAGCCCATAAAAGCAGGGGTCTGTGGCATACCTTGGGAGATATTGTTATAAGTGAAGTGTCTGAGGCTCAGATGCCTGCAGGGTCCAGGCAAGGAACACAAGGTGGGTGCACAGAACACAGTAAACATTGAAAAATTGAGGTGTGTGGGGAGAACTGTGGAAGCCATGTAGTGAATATGGACACTATATCCTCACATGCTTAGGAAACATTGAAAACTTAGTGGATTTCATTGGGGTTAGTGGTAGGATCTCACACATGTATGGGCTGATGTATCCAACTGAATAGAATGGATGTGTTCCTGAAAAAAAGATCTACTTTTGAGTTATAATTTAAACTTATACCAAAGTATTTTTCTGTTTATAACACACACTGGTGTTCTTTCATGTGCTGCAAAAAAAAAAAAAGTTCAATTTTTTCTCACAAGATTTTTTTAAAATTTTAAGTCAACCTTTAAAAATCAGGTAATTCCACATTAAAAGCCATATTTCTAGTTTTTCTTGGGAAAGAAATCAGATGATCTGATAAAACTAGGTAAGTTTCCTGGCATTAAAAAAAAAAACTATTTACTACAGTTGGGTGACTTTTCACAGTCACTTGAAACTCAGTCATTCATCAAAACTTTTTAAAGTGCCTACCATGTGCCAGTCACTCGCAAGCCTTTAAGGATAAAAAATAAACACAGTCTAGTCCTACCTTGCAGACTTTTGCTTCTACTCAGAGTGGACCAGCAAGAATCACACGAGAACTTGCTAGAAATGCAGAATCGCAGGTCCCACCCAAGACCCACTGCATTAGAAGCTGCATGTTAACACGTTCCCAGGTGACTTCTATGCATATTAAAGTTGAGAACACTCCCAGCAAACACTTATCGTGGACACCCAGAGGAGGTATGATTGAAAACTCAGGTCCTCAGCCAGCCTTAAGGGTATCAGAATCTCAAGGGTTGGGGCCTCTTAACCTATATTTTAAGCGCGCTCCCCAACTAACAACTCAAGGTCAGAGTCATTATTCAAACCGAACCTACAGAGAAGCACCATCCTTAGCGCTATATAAAAACAGCAAGGAGGAAAGGCTCTATATGGGAAGGTAAAAGCCAAGCCCACCTTCCTAAGGAAGTGTGTGTGTGTGTGTGTGTGTGTGTTTCTACGTGGAATCCTGTCACTCCAACAGCCCTTGACACACCGCAGAAACTGAGTTAAGTACTGAACGAGGAAGTCAACTGCTTTCAGCAAACAACAAGACCTTTGCCAAGAGGCTTTGGGACAGGTTGGCAGTGCAGTCATGAAGGCGCGTTGGCTGGGACAGGTCACTAGAGCCCAGGGTACAAACCTTGAGAGAAGTATGGCGGCAGGGAGGCGCTGTGCTGGAAACTGCTGTTACTGTGGGGAGAGGAAAAGAACGAACTTTAAGTAGGGTTGGATATAGGTGTGGTGGGTGGTGGGGGAGAGCTGGGCCTGGGTCAATGCTGCTTCCTTTGTTATTGCTCCCCACCCCTCCCTGAAACCACGGGCCCAGGGCAAAGAACTTGCTGGACATACTTCACTACTGTCCCAAGATGGACCATCCCGACGGTTAACAAGCTTCACAAGCCACAAAACAAGAGAAACCAAACAATTATGTAAAGGACTCTAAAAGTTACTTTTAAAAGTCGGCTGCAGTTTGAGGACCTTGAGTTTGGAGTGTCGACTGAAATAAACGCACAACCTAAATGTTGAGTTATAGTTTTTTGGGTGGACAATTCTGAGGACTCAGCCTCTCAGATGGCTCTGAGGGACTGCTCCGAAGAGGTGGGGGAGGAGCTAGGAGATATAGGAGCTTTACAACAGAGACCAGGTAGTTGGAACATCAAAAGATCATTTGTTAACTAAAGAAAACCAGGCTTCTCAAGTTAAACAATTTAGCACTTTTCTATGTATGGGAGGAAGCAAACATCTGGGCTCATTGAATTCATTCCTTTGACAAGCACCTAGCTATCTAGGGCCAGTATCCTGTCCTTTCTTATTCTGAGTCCCCTCAGGGTGCGCCATTGTGAGTGGCTGCAGAGGCCAGGCTGCAGGCTTGTCTTCACTGGGGGGTGGCGGCAGCCGCTGATGACTTGATGGCTTCAGGATTCTTTGTTTACTGGTATGGTATGCAGTATTTTTCATTCACAGGAGCATGACAGAAGTCCCCTGGGGAGAGGACTTCTCTTTGGTTAGGAAAATATATTAAATGGGCATGTTGGTTGGGAATGGTGAATCCCCATGGCCTAACAGTCTACAAGGAGAGGGTGGGGTGGGTGAGAAACAAAGAGAGGGCTTGGAGCGCTGCCCAGAGACTGGAGTGGTGGACAGAGAGCCTGCGGGGGGGCCCTGAGATAAGGTCTGCTCCACGCGGAGCAGCAGTTTCCCCACCCTTAGACCGAACACCTTCTGTAGAAGTCTGCTCTGCTCAGCAATCTTGGATGAGTGGTATCTGGGGGCCCAGGGTGGGATGAAGAGAAAATGGCATGCATTAGAAAATGGCAGACGTGGCAGAAAAAGAAAGATAGCTGGAAGAATGGAGAATGAGAAGAAACAGCAGAAAGTCAGAGCAAGAGGCACCCAGGGAAAATGAAAAAAAATTTGAGACTCCTTGCAGATCTCTGGCAGGGGTGGAAGAATCTTGCTGAGGGTGTTTCCTTCCATATTTAAGGTGGGGACTGGGCACCTCTGGGTAGTAAAGGAGTTGAATCCAAAGGGCTGGAGGCCTCGGGGACACCAGGAGGCAGCCTGTGGGCTTCTTTAGGAGAAATGACCCAAGTCATTTGCTTCTGGACAGCCTGCCTCATCATGGGCCCCAAGAAACACTGTTGCCACCAAGAAAATGGACCTGCTGGGGACAGAGGCTGTGCGGTGAATTCTCGATATCTGCTAAGGGCAAGGTACGTTTCTTCAGTCCTCCCATCCAAGAGGCAGGGTGAACTCCAAGTAATTAAATTAATTCGGTTTTCTGAGTGTTTATTTCTTTGTTTTAGCCGCAATGTGAAAATACTCCCCATTTTCTGCCAAAGAGTCCATTCCATCTGGAGCCGCAACAGGCTGTCGGTTCTGTACCCCTCTGACCCACAGAGGTTCAGAGGACGGCAGAGAGTTAACACATGTGGTTCTTTATGCTCAGCTTGGTTTTGTTTCTTAAGACCCCAAATATTCTGACCCTCCGACCACTGGCTCATTTCTTTCTTCGTCAACCCACCTGATGTTATTAGCTCAGTATCAGTGGCCCCAGACATTAAGCTAAGTTAGAACTCACGTTAGAACACAGACTATGGCGTCAGCACAAACCTTTCTGAGAAGGCTCCGGGCAGGTGGGGTGATGGGAGGGAGTGCTTGGGCGACGGCTTGGTAGATCTTGCAGGGAAGGTGTTGGAGTTCATGGCATGTGGTGCTGGCGGGGGCAGAGGTCTCTGATGCACTGTGGGGGGAAAAAAGAAAAGAAAGCAGATAGTCAGAATCCAAGTGTCACAGGAACATCCCAGAACTGCTCCCCAGTTAGAAACAGCTGGTCTAAAGGGAGATAGAAAAATGCAAAAGATCGAATGTCATTAGGAAGTGGCAGGATGGAAGCCCCTCTCCCCAAGGTTTTTCTAGATGGTTACCACCTTAGAGTGCATTTTAAAATGCTGCCATGATACATCGTTCTCCATAATACACATTTTTTTCATTTTTGAAATGTTAACTTGGCAGAAAATTGTCAAATGGAAACCATATGAATTTCAGAAATGATTCACAAGTTTTGTTTTACAAAAGCCGAATTTTTTAATGCTATGTCATTCATCTGCAGGGGTCCTTTATCCATGTGTTATAAAGCATAAACACTAGAATGTTTTCTATCAAACTGTACATGCGGTTTTTAATGTTGCTTTACTAGTAAGTAATTCACACTGCTAGGCATGAACTTAACAGTTCTCCTTGGTAACTCAGCCAAGTAATTCCATTTTATTATAGTTAGGCAATATACCAACTGACATAATGTCTACTTAATACTGATTTAACAATCATAATGGATTCAATGGGGTTTCTGAATGCCTGAGCATAAAAATGAAGGGATGGGTTATAAGTTGTAAGAAAGCCTTTCTGAACATACCATCATCTTCATCCTGGTAAGGGGAAGAAAGAAAAAAAAGATATTAACCTATCATCAAAGCAGAAGTCCTATAAGAACTGTATTTTTCAATCATAGAAATGTCTTCTTTCTTTAGCAGTTTTGTGCCTCCATAATAAAGATACAATGGAGACAGCAGAACCTGCCAAGTAATTTATGATTTCTTAATACAAACGATCATTTAAGGACACTCCAACCCGAGACACTCTTTATGTATACACATAAAATAGGTTCTGAAGTGTCTCAAAGGGCCTGAAGATACACAAACATCTACGGTGTGTCCCAAAGACTCACACGTGATATTCCATCCAATTCTAACAACCCTTCAAGAATTTAACATCCTCATTTTACAGATGGAAACGTGCTGCTCAGGAGGGATCCCTAACTTGCCAAGGTTTACGAAATAGATCCAGCCCCTAATTGGGTCTGTCTGACCCAAAGCCCCGCCTTCTTTGGGGCTGTGCTCTGTAGCGGCCACGCTTAAAAGCAATGCAACCTTAATGATCTATAACATAGTTTCTAAGGTGTGTCCGCACGGTTCGGCACGTTTATCTTTAGGACAACCTTGTGAAATAGATAAGGGAGGGGCTATTTACTCTCCTCTTCAGATAATAAATGATGTTCCGAGGGACAAAAATGATTTTGCCATTGACTAGAAAACCAAAATTGCCAACTTGGACTTGTTTTGTTAGGCCAGCACGGTGGTGATGAAAGAGCACCTTTCTCAGGCGTTGTTGGGAGCATTAAATTAGTCACTGCTTGCGCCTGGTGTGTTGAGTGCTCAACAAAAGTTTGCTGTCCTTAGTCCTACCTTTGAGATAAGGCAGAACCACTCATTCCAATTGGCCAGCTGGGAGGGAGTCCTAGCGATGGGTTGCTAGATGAATACGCATGGACTCAGGGAATCCCCAAAATGAAATCAATCTTGGACACTGCTGCCACCACGTCTCCTCTGGTCCAAGAATATACGACTTCTGGATCTTCATGACAGCAAGTGTCAGTCCTTCCAGAGATGGGGAGCTTCAGGAATGTGATGTTGCCCTCATTTTCAACCTCATCTCCTCTATGTCCCTATGGCTCTGAACCCACCTGCCTTTGCTCAGAACATTCCTGAAGCTGGAATGCACTGGGCTTTCTCATGAGGTGACTGTGCTGTGTCTTCCCCATCACGCAGTGACCACATCTCTAAGAAGTCACCCTTCTCCTTGACCCCCGTAGACCACTTTCTTCCCTTCACCTCCATAGCTCGTTCTGTGATCGTATGCTGTTTAGCATGTTGGACGGGGGTTTGTCCGTCTCCATCGTACCTCGGCACTTCATCTGAACCAGCACAGCATCTAGCACTGAGCTGTGAAACCCCAGGCACCCATGGCCCGAGCCCTTGAACATGGCAGGGATGTGATGGCTTCAGAGGCCTTACAGGGTAGGGGAAATCAGAGAGGCCTGGATTTCCATCCAGGCTGTCTGCTGCCCGTACAACCTGCCATGAGTATCTTACTCCTTGGAGCTTTGATTTCCTCTTAGCTAAAGAGAAACAATGATTCCTCAGGGGAGCATTAAAGGCAAAGCATTTGTAAAGCTGGGGTGACCAACATTTCTTGGGTCTGGGTGGCCTGAAAGTGATGGGGTTCCTGGGATATGAGACATGGGCGTGTCCCAGGCAAACAGCTGGTTACCCGAAAGTAGCTAGCTTGGCAACGTGCACATAGTAGGCATTCGATAAATGCTAGTTCCCCTCTTTCTCAGGCTGTGGAGGTATTAAAACAGAAGCTTTGGAAACTTTGCTGTGAGACCCAGACTCTCGGGCATCCCTTACTTTATTCTCTCCACCCAGTGCCCCTTCACCTTGCTAATGACCACCTGGTAGCAGGGCTGCGATGAACCCAGCCTCCCTAGGAGCCCTCAGAGGGACAGGAGCTAAGCAATGCAGCAGGGAGAGGGGGCAGGGGGGAAAACTGGAAGCCCCACCAGGCACTAGTATTCCAGTGCCCACTGTGTGCAGGCCTGGCTCCCAGCACCGGACTTCAGTGAAGGCGGAGACAGAGGCAGCCCTGACCTCCACGGGGCCTGCGCCGATTTCCCTGTGCCAAGCATGCACCAAATGATCGCTTGTACTTACATTTTCTCTTCTGTCTGGTCCCCATCCATGCCTGAAATGAATCAGGGCAAAGAAAAAGAACTGAGCATAAAGCGTTTCAAAGAATATAGACAGCTTCACTTAATCTAATAACGAGAAATCAAACCCACTGAGCTGTGATAAAATGGGAGGGAAAAAAAAAACCAAGCAGGAGAGCAGGGGAGAGGGAGGTGTGGTGACTCAGTGATCTGTCATTGTGAGCTGAGCTAGGCAAACCTTTACTCTATTTAGCTACTGCAGCAAATAATTACGTTAAAGATAAAAAAAAAAACATTTAGTCAGCAAACTAACTCTTTAGTAGCTATTAAATTTCACTGAGTAGCTGTTTCTCCAAGCAAACAAAAACATTTTAGGCAACATTCTCCTTCGCTGAGGCTTTAAAACAGCCATCTTGGGGCTCACCCTCCGTGTGAAGGGAAGACAGCTGGGAAATGCTGCTGCTTTGGGACATTCCCCAGATGCACGAGCCGGTCAGACAGACTTGGTGACAGCAGCCTTGGAGCTGCAGCGGGCAGCTGTCCGCCTGGGCCCGCACCATGTTCTCCTTACATCTGTCAGATGCTTCACATGCCCTCATCCTGTGTTTAGTTAAAATTGGATATTTCGTTCATTATGATACTTTTTGCATTCATTTTAATTTTTTTTGAATATTCCATTAAAATATTAACTCTATTACTGAGGTTTTAGTGGTACACCCTCGCCCTGGCCCTGACTGAGTCCTTCCACTAGCCTTCCACTACAAGCAAGGCTGTAGCTATGAATCCTGGTTGTACCGATGAGATCAATGGAAGCCTTGGTTTTGTCCTTCGTGAGAAGCTGGGTTGGGCCTGACCCCAGGTACGTTTGTGCCATTTGGCGAATAGGCCCCGAAAGACTGTAAAGTTAAAAATAGACACTTGGAGTAACCAGTGGTACCCCCTCCGCTGCCTGGATGGAAATATAAAATGGTAGGTACAGTTCCTACGCCTCGTGATGGAAGGAAAATGCATCCAAAAATCCGACTGGTTGAGAAGAAGGTCTCTTCCCCGGGGAAGCATCTCTCTGCGCCTCTCTGTGCTGGACCGCCACGTCCTTCAAAGGGACCCAGGCACTTTACGTCCAGGCTGAGAACCTGGACGCAAATCCCAGCAGCAAACAGGCCCACCCCACCCGGGAGTGTCCTGGTCTTCAGTCCCTGCGCGGAGCCAACTGCTCGCAGGCGGGAGTTCACATCGCCCCCTCTGCGCGACCCGCGCAGGTGACAGAAGGCAGTTACTTTGGCACAGGTGGCTTCTTCCCCGGCAGGGGGCTGCTGCCTCTGTCGAGCCTTTCCAAGGTTGGTGGTAATGGGGGCTTCTGTATCTTGGGTAAATTCTCCCCAAGAGGCCTGCAGAGTTGAGAGAAAGGGTGTGTGAGAAACAAACCGGAGCTTTACAGCACGTGCCATGTCCCCTCCCGCAGACGCACCAGAGCCACTCACCTTCCCGCTGGGGTCGAGGGCTGCAAAGACAGGAGGGAAGATGGGTGAGTGAGATGAGACACAATGGAGCAAAAACCAAAACAAAACAAAGCAAAACAAGGCGAAAGCTTACCTTGTCAGGAATCACTGGTTTCTTTCCTGTAAACGACAGAACAGCAGACAGGCCTTGAGTTTAACAGCCAAGCGCGAGGCGTTAAAACACTGTTTGATGAAACTGAATCCGAGCGCTTGGACGGCTGACTGGGTTTAAGCACTGAGGAGTCAGACTTTAGACACACAAGGGTCCCTCACACAGCACCTAATTTCATAGACTCAAACAAATTAAGTGACTTTGCCCAAGGATCGCACGTGTTGTGTGCATACGAACAGTGTTGTGGGTTCTGTGCTTCTCTGCAACATTTTATTGCATGTAATTGATGATAAAAAGGATTAATGCCTCCTTGGGAGCTGATGCCTCTTTCATTGGTCAAGAGTTTCTCTGCTCATCCTTATTTTCGTGTCTGAAACAAACCCATTTGCCGTGGAGGGGTCAGCTGTCCATTAATCCTGGGGTACACTTGACGCTATGTCAGGCATTACACTTAGTTTCTGGAAAATTTCCTAACTTGGAGGAGAGAGTTTCAGAAGACTCGTCTGGCAGGTTGCAAATCATGTTTGGGTTTGTTAGTCTTT